GCTTTCCAAAGCCGACAGAAAGAAATTTCGTTCCGGTTTTCCAACAACATCAGCCTGGAAGCGATTCCGGATGAACTTTGGAGCAGCGTGAAGAAAATTGTTGTTAGCGATGATGCATGTGAAAAAAGTCATTGCCAACAGCAAAACTATACCTTAACATCAGCGGCGAACTGAAGGGCTTCAACAAACGGACCTGGACCCAAGCTGAGTCCATCTTTACGTTTATAATAGCGACCTTTATGGATGGCTATCAGTTTTGCGCCATCCAATAGCAATCGAAATGCTTTATTCAAGTTGTCGAACTGGAAACGCGACGGTGCAAGACCGACAACCACGGCATTTGGGTTAGTTTGATCAATGTCTGCAAACCGAATCAATTTCGCACACCACCGTTAAAAAATACCTTTATATCACCAAAGAAGCATATCGTCACCTACTGGACAGCATTAAGGACAAATGGATGGTTACGAGATAAGGATTTATCAAAGATAGGGATTTATCGAAGGAAGATAGGGATTTATCAAAGCTGCATGCAGTTGAGGATACAACTGCATGCGCTTTGATAAATCCCTATCTTTGATAAATCCTTACCTCGTAACAAGGGCATACAACCATAATGAACACAGGTCGTCACCAGTAAGCAACTGATCAGGAAACGTCACCGAAGCGGTTCTTGATTCCTTCAATAAAACTCCTACTGAAAGCAGAAATCACCTCTAAAATCTTCCAGTGCAACGTCTTCGAGAAACAACAATGGCCGGAGGTGTTCTTTCTCAATTAAACATTTCGCTGCAGACAACGACGTGAACACTTCGCTAGGAGCGATTTGGAAACCGAGTTTCTGCAGTCGTTCATGAAGTCGACTTGATGATTCCTTCAAGCACAAGGTTCACGCTAAGGATTGCGTACTGATACGACAAAACTATTGATATACATTAGCATCTATATGACAGAACAAGAAATAATTATTGGATGACACAAATTGATTTTACGAATTACTTTCGTTGT